AAATTATCTAGCACGACAATATCAGCGGAAAAATGTTAGTCGGAAAAAAGTGCATGAATCACTCTCCTGGAGGTTAGCATCAGTCTTGCTGGTGGTGGAAGGTAAAAAAGGGTTCTCTCAAACGATTAAAAGAGAGCAGTTTCGTTTTGGAGGCGTTAAAAATTAACAAGCCATTTCTTGCCCCAGTTAACAAAAGAATTTAGATCATTTTTAAGATCAGCTGCAAATTTGACCTTATCGAATTGTTACATGGATTTTCATACCAGTACCCTATCGGGTGGGGTGTTCTCTTTGGTGAGTGGGGTGCTCGCTTTGGAGTAAAGTTCATCAAATCGGTAAAACTGGTCGGATTTCTTTTAGTCAACGGATACCGGCACAGAAAGAGAAATCTCCGAGCAGAGTTCAAATCCCAGCCTAGTCTGTTTCCTGGCACTTCTGCAATATAAAATTCTTTATAAAATACAAACAATCTGCAATGCTATTGGCTTTGACCTGGCATCTCGGCTTCAGTGACTTTCCCGCTGTCGTAATGTAGCTTCCCTGTGCCTTTTCTATAAATTTTCACACAAATGCCCCGGGGAAAGTTATGTACATTTCTTCCTCAATCCAGCTCTGTCCCACGTGGGTGCTTCAAGTTATAAATGGTCAACCTTAACCTATCCTCATAATCTTCACTTGCAACCAGGTACCCTTTAAAAACAGTTTGCCCCTTCTTTTAGAAGGGTGACATTTTCACCCTTCTGCACACTCTTATTATTTCCATGGCTAATGTTCAGATGAGCGTTCCATTCTTTCGTCCGTCTTGGGGTATGACGATAAACTACATCCACGTCCTGGGTAAGACGATAAACTACATCCAACAGCAAGGCCTCTTATCAAGAGGCTTTAAGAAGCGTGGAACCACCTCTTAATTGCTGATGTTCTCAGATCCACCCAGCCCCGGGGTGGTAGTACCTGTTAGGGTCCTAACTATGGCCAAATAGTTAACCCCAAACTGCAGTGAAAACAATATGAATGTGTAAATATAGGTTTTATTACCAATAATAGAGTTTTGAAGAAAAAAATATTACCTGCAATACATTGTGGGAAAAAATATTAGCTAAAATACATTTTTGAACAAAAATATTACCAGCAATACATTTTTGGAGAAAAAAAAATAACATTAGAAGCAATAAATGTCTTGTCGGTTTTAAATAACCCATTGAGGCTGATATGCCGTGAAACAAAACAATGCAAACCATCAAAGTTATTTCTTCAAAATTATCATTGCTTTTTGAAGAAGAAAATATTACCAGCAATAAAAATGTTGTCGGCATTAAATAACCCATTGAAGTTGATATGCCGTAAAACAAAACAAACCAAACCAAACCATTCTTTCGTTCCACTAGCTCATACGTTTGTAGCGTGGACACGTCATGCTACTTGCACGGAGTTGAATCAGCCTAACTTCCCCAATATTCCAATTATAAGAAGTTCCATTCGAGCAGCTTCTTCCCACGAACGGCTGATTTGTGGAACCGACTCTCAAGAGGATATTTTCACGAACACTATAATCTTAACTTTAAGCTTAGAGGTAACCGTTATCTTCGCCACATATCCCCCAAAACTCTGCCTTTTACCCTATAACCCTGTACCTCGAGTGCTTCCTGGGCGTTGTACAGGGCGAAGAACATCGATATATATATATATATATATATGTGTGTGTGTGTGTGTGTGTGTGTGTGTGTGTGTGTGTGTGTGTGTGTAGGCACGGTGGAGTAATGAATTGAGGAATCGGAGAGCCGAGTTCGAATTCCGGTCAAGTTCATTACTTTCACTTACTAGCTAATACCCTTGGGAAAGGTATGAATCCATCTCTCCCCCCCCCACACACACACAGGTATGGGTAGATAACAGAAAAAACAGGGGTTTATAGCCTTGGGCGGCAACCAGTCTAGAAGGACAACCCTGAATTCAAAATATGCGGAAGGTCATTTGGGGACCTTATGACACATTGTGCACCAGTTCTCTGTATTCGGCTCATCCAAAAAGTGTGGTTAGTTCTGCACAAGCCTTCCCCACTATAATCCCATGATAGATTCGGGTAGTCTGTCTTTGGTTCTAAGAACTGAGCTGCTTGATCCTCATACGTCGAAAACGACGTGAAATATCATATATATATATATATATATATATATATATATATAGTAAGGTAATGAAGGGTTTGGTAATCCGTATGGATAGTTCCAAAGAGGATGTAATCCAGAGAGCTCAATGTAAGAACAGAGCAAATATTAATTAATTAAATTAAAAGAGAGATAAACTTAAGGTTCCGTGACTATAATTTATTTCCCCAGAAAATATATTTTTCCTGGTTCATCACGTCACATCTGTAGTTACAAAGGAATCTGGCTTACAAATTTGTATGTTTTTTCTTTTATTTTTAATACAATGAAGTGAATTGACTAAAAAGATAATACATCGCTAACCTAGGTTACTTTTATGATAAATGTTCAGAAGAGCTCCATTCCTTAGTGCTACTAGTTCAGACGTTTACGGCTAAGACCTGCCTTACCACAACCACAGGTTTGACAATAGTCCGAATAATGTAAATAATGTACATGGTACCTCATCTCAGAAATATAGACAGACTATATATAGTCTATCTATCTCTGTCTTTCTTCTCTTCTCTCTGATTGTATTATCAATGAAAGTGTCAGAAACTCTGAAACTTTGACACATATTTATCCGTTCAAGAATAGCCTCTTGTCAGGAACTAATAGTAAAATCTGCGCAACTCTGCCCTCCGATTTTTAATTTTCTGATTTACCGTCCACTTGATTTTTTAATTCATGATACTTGTTTATTGAAACACGCAGATAAGTTCGAAACATTTTTCCATATTGAATCTGCTTAGTCCCAATTCAAACTTGCTTATGAATTATGAATTTGCTTCGTTCCAAATCAAACTTGCTTATTTTATTTTGAATTTGCTACCTCCCATTCTGAACTTGGCTATTTCATTTGGAATTTGCTACCTCGCATTCTGAACTTGGCTATTTCATTTGGAATTTGTTACGTCCCATTCTGAACTTGGCTATTTCATTCTGAATTTCTTACGTCCCATCTTGAACTTGGCTATTTCATTTGGAATTTGTTACGTCCCATTTTGAACTTGGCTATTTCATTTGGAATTTGTTACGTCGCATTCTGAAATTGGCTATTTCATTTGGAATTTGTTACGTCCCATTCTGAACTTGGCTATATCATTCTGAATTTCTTACGTCCCATCTTGAACTTGGCTATTTCATTTGGAATTTGTTACGTCCCATTTTGAACTTGGCTATTTCATTTGGAATTTGTTACGTCCCATTTTGAACTTGGCTATTTCATTTGGAATTTGTTACGTCCCATTTTGAACTTGGCTATTTCATTTGGAATTTGTTACGTCCCATCTTGAACTTGGCTATTTCATTTGGAATTTGTTACGTCGCATTCTGAAATTGGCTATTTCATTTGGAATTTGTTACGTCGCATTCTGAACTTGGCTATTTCATTCTGAATTTCTTACGTCCCATCTTGAACTTGGCTATTTCATTTGGAATTTGTTACGTCCCATTTTGAACTTGGCTATTTCATTTGGAATTTGTTACGTCGCATTCTGAAATTGGCTATTTCATTTGGAATTTGTTACGTCCCATTCTGAACTTGGCTATATCATTCTGAATTTCTTACGTCCCATCTTGAACTTGGCTATTTCATTTGGAATTTATTTACGTCCCATTTTGAACTTGGCTATTTCATTTGGAATTTGTTACGTCCCATCTTGAACTTGGCTATTTCATTTGGAATTTGTTACGTCCCATTTTGAACTTGGCTATTTCATTTGGAATTTGTTACGTCGCATTCTGAAATTGGCTATTTCATTTGGAATTTGTTACGTCCCATTCTGAACTTGGCTATTTCATTCTGAATTTCTTACGTCCCATCTTGAACTTGGCTATTTCATTTGGAATTTGTTACGTCAATTTGAACTTGGCTATTTCATTTGGAATTTGTTACGTCGCATTCTGAAATTGGCTATTTCATTTTGGAATTTGTTACGTCCCATTCTGAACTTGGCTATATCATTCTGAATTTCTTACGTCCCATCTTGAACTTGGCTATTTCATTTGGAATTTGTTACGTCCCATTTTGAACTTGGCTATTTCATTTGGAATTTGTTACGTCGCATTCTGAAATTGGCTATTTCATTTGGAATTTGTTACGTCCCATTCTGAACTTGGCTATTTCATTCTGAATTTCTTATGTCCCATCTTGAACTTGGCTATTTCATTTGGAATTTGTTACGTCGCATTCTGAACTTGGCTATTTCATTTGGAATTTGTTACGTCCCATTCTGAACTTGGCTATTTCATTTGCAATTTGCTACCTCCCATTCTCAACTAGGCTATTTCATTTGGAATTTGTTACGTCCCATCTTGAACTTGGCTATTTCATTTGGAATTTGTTACGTCCCATTTTGAACTTGGCTATTTCATTTGGAATTTGTTACGTCCCATTCTGAACTTGGCTATTTCATTTGGAATTTGTTACGTCGCATTCTGAACTTGGCTATTTCATTTGGAATTTGTTACGTCCCATCTTGAACTTGGCTATTTCATTTGGAATTTGTTACGTCCCATTCTCAACTAGGCTATTTCATTTGGAATTTGTTACGTCCCATTCTGAACTTGGCTATTTCATTTGGAATTTGTTACGTCCCATTCTGAACTTGGCTATTTCATTCTGAATTTCTTACGTCCCATTTTGAACTTGGCTATTTCATTTGGAATTTGTTACGTCCCATTCTGAACTTGGCTATTTCATTTGGAATTTTCTACGGCCCATTCTGAACGTGGCTATTTCATTTTGAATCTGTTATGTCACATTTTGAACTTGGCTATTTCATTTTGCGTTGTCTATGATCCATTCTGTACATGGGTCCAAATGACTTTGATTAGTCCCAAATTGAACTTGAAATGGTACAGATTTGTTTTCCTTTTTTCCTCCGTTCTTTCTTTAATTTTCGTTATTCTTTCTTTTTTTCTATCTTTCTTTCTTTCTCCCTTTTATTTCTCTCTTTCTTTCTTTTGTCCTTTCTAGATTTTTTTCTTCCGTTCTTTCTTTTCTATTTCGCTTTTCTGTTTCTTTCTTTTTTCCATGTTTCTTTCTTTTTCCTTTTCTTTCTTTCTTTTCTTTTTTCTTTCTATCTTTCTTTCTTATTTTTAATTTGTTTCTATCTTTCTTTCTTTCTTTCTTTCTTTATCCTTTCTTTCTTTCTTTTTATTTTTATTTATTTATTTCTTAGACATTTTTTAATAGAAAATTTAATGTTCGTTCTCGCCTTTCAGTTTTTACGATCGTGAAGACGGAGGCAAGATTGTCGTTCCCGCTTGTCAAGCGCGACCACTATAAACTGACTGAACTCTCTGACGGGTGTTGACAGCCTGTGCCCGCTCAATGGTAGACGACGCTAACGGTCGGTCTGCTCCCTCGGAGGAGGTCCAAACTCAGCGCCAACTATATACCTTTCTTCATTGGTCAGCTTTCTTCGGGAGATGACACGTGACATCGCTCAATTTTGAATCCCAACTAAAAAACGAATCCTTCTAAAGCTTTCTCTTCCTCTCTTTCCTAATCTTCTCCCGTTCTACCTCACTTTCTCTCCCTCTCTCACTCTTTCTTTCTCGTATTCCTCCTCTCCCTTTCTAACTCACTCTCACTCTTTTGTTTCCCTCTCTCTTCTACCTTCATTTTTCTCTCTCATTCGCTTCATCATATTTGCTCTCCTTTTCTCGCTCCCCATTTTAATAACTCTCTCTCTCTGCTTCCATTTATACTCTTTCTCTCAACTTCCATTTTTACTCTCTCTCTCTCTCTCTCTCTCTTAGTCAATCTATCTTCCACTTTCTCTTTTTATTTCTCACTCTTTTTTGTTCCCCCTCTCTCTTTCTAAGTATTGATCTTTCGCTGTCTTATTCACCCTCAGTTTTATATTATCCTCTGTCTCTATCACGTTTTCGCTCTCGTTTTTCTATCACCCCCTTTCTCTCTTATTAATCGCTCACTCTACTTCTTTTTCTCGTAGCCAATCTCCCACTTTCTCTTTATTCACCCGCCCTTTCTGTCATCTTCCCTATACACTTTCTCTCTCTCTCTCTCTCTCTCTCTCCCTCACTCTCTTTTGTTCGCTCTCACTTTTCTGCCTTCTCTATCTCTCTCATTCGCTATATCACCTTCTTTCTCCCCATTTCTCTCGTAATCTCCCCCTCTCTTTCCCTCTCTGTGCTTCCTTCTTTCCCCCTCTTATTCAAAACACTTTTCTTTAATACCCTTTACTTCCCACTTAATCATTCTTTCTCCCTCACGCTCTCTTTCTATCATTCACAGTGTTTTCTCTATCTCTCCTTTTCACTTTACATCACTCACTTTTCCTTATTTGTTTTCCTCTTCTAATTCACTCCCCCTACTTCCTACTTTCTCTCTCTCAGTCAATCTCTCACTTTTTCTTTAATCACTCACCCTTTCTGTCTTATTCACTCATTTTCTCCCTCCCTGTCTTTCGTTTATTCGCTCCGTCTTTCTAAATCCCCCTCTCTCTCTTATTCGCCTTCATATTTTTCCGAAGTCAATATGTTTCTTTACCTCCCTATATATATATATATATATATATATATATATATATATATATATATATATATATATATATATATACCCAAGTATAAGGATCGTTAATTAATTTGAAACTTTTAAAACCGTTTATTTTACATTCAACATCATCACTTGATAAGACACTGGAGGTCTTGAAACAAAATGGCTATTTTTGCAGTGATTTTATAACATATTTATGTTATAATTTTTTAAATAAATAATTATATATATATATATATATATATATATATATATATATATATGTCCCTTCTGCACATCCTGCTCTTCTCCCTATCAAGCTTTTATTTACTTTCTCTCTACTCAATCATTTTACTATATATTTTTCCTTTTACCTGTCTTCCCTTATCTTCCTCTCTCTCTCTCTTTCTTTCTCTCTCTCTTTCTTTCTCTCTCTCTCTCTCTCTCTCTCTCTCTGTGTGTGTGTGTGTGTGTGTAGTCCCTCTCCGTTTTTCGATATCAGTTTAGTTTTGTTTCTTATCTTTCTCTATTTTTCTTTCTTTCTCTTACTAAGATCCGAGCAATCTCTCTCTATATATATATCTCTATCTCTAACTCTCTCTCTATATATCTATCTATCTATCTCTCTTTCTCTCTGTCTATAGTTCCTCTTCGCTTCTACGAAATCAGGCTAGTTCTGTTTCTTACCTTTCCCTATCTTTCTCACTCACTCTCACTCCCTAACAACTTGAATATTACAAATGGTAGCTGATCATGAGAAGAAAAAATGGATATACTCAATAACGAAAGAAATCAAAAATGAACAAAATGCACAAATGAAAAATATGTCAACATAAAAGATCCAGCCGCTGCAGCTGTAAGGGGAGATAAATCCGAAGAGCAAAATAATACAGGGATGAAATGAGAGCTAAAACTTCTGCATGGTCGAATATGCTCTCCGCAGTGTGAAAGTTGATGTAGATCAAAATCTCACCTATCAATGCCTAGGGAGGTGAGCACTCGAATCAGAAAACGAAGGAATCCTTATAGCAGCATAAGACCGGAGCTAATTTACTAACAGGCTAATGTCATTAAAAACGGAACTTCTAAAAAATGCAACTGTTGACCAGTTTAATGCAAAATTAGATCACTTAGTGGCAGAATGAAAGATGGTGGCCGCGTAAGAATGCAAAACGAGGCATGACAGAATATATTTATTTAATTTGTATATAGCATCTATATAAAAGGATCTTCTAAGATATAACAGCCACATGCGCTAATGCAAAGCTCTTCAGTAAAATGAATGGAGCACTCCGGCTGTTTTTGTGCATTTGTTTACATTCATAAAAACAATATGCTTTAGCCGCTTAACTCTGCTGAGTTAAGATAGCTCAGTGGTAGTGACTGAAACCAAATCGGTTGGGTTTCAATCCTGGCTTGATGCATTCGGATGTCTAGTCGCACTGAGGAGCAGTGAGAAATCGAAATGGCGAATGACATATATATATATATATATATATATATATATATATATATATATCTCCAAGTATAAGATTGGTGTATACGGAATAAATTCCAATAACCAAAAAAATACTATTCTTAAAAGAGTGCTCAATACAGATTGGAGCAAATATAATTTATTCGAAAATTATAACATAAATATGTTATAAAATCCCTACAAAAATAGCCATTTTGTTCCAAGACTCCTGGAGTCTTACTCTTTAATCTACATTCAACACCATCACTTGATAATGGCTATTTTTGTAGTGATTTTATTACATATTTATGTTATAATTTTGGAATAAAATATAATTATATATATATATATATATATATATATATATATATATATATACATATTAAAAGGAGTGGAGTAATGGATAGCGGCTCAGATTGAGGACCGAGTTCGAAATCCAGTCGAAACCATTATATTTACTTACGTGCTAATTCCTCTGGGAAAAATTTGAATCCCCTTCTTCCCCCATCTATGGGTAAATAGCAGGACTGACTGGGTGACAACCGTTCTAGGAGAAGGAAAAACTCTGAATTCAAAACCGGCCTTGAGAGGTTGGGCTCCGTCAGGCTATCTTTCCCAAGAAACGCCACTTCTACTCCGGCTGCAAGGTACGTGGTACCCCACGACCCTATGATCACAGGGGAAAATAGCATCAATAAAATCGGGCATCTTGAGAATGTAACCCAAATAAAAACACGATATCCGTTTACATTTCATAACACAGCTTAGACATATACCCTGAAGGTAGTTTTATATAAAATTTAATAAATTTTGTGTGCAGACATATACAGGTAATGACGCAAGTCATGTTTGCTCACACAGATTTTTAAGTGGTGAAATTCAGATTTCCCATAAAAATATTTGTTTTTTACTTTCTGTACGTGTGCAAAAAGACATGATCACTACTTATAAAAAAAAACATATATAAATGCGGGACTTTTTGACATTTGGAACAATATTATTAACGAGCACGAAACACCTGATAATCCAGGAACGAAGGTGTTACTGTGATGATCGCTACCAAAAGAAAACTAGCACAGCCATTGGCTACATCGTTGGTCTAGAGAACCCCGACCCAGGTCAGATGAGACAGATGAGGTCATTCTCAAGAGGTCAGATGAGACAGATGAGGTCATTCTCAATAGGTCAGATGAGACAGATGAGGTCATTCTCAAGAGCTGGAATTCACCTAGGAACCTTCTCAAATCCGAAAACCTCCAAAATCTGAAACACAGGTTTCACACAAGCATACTTAAATATACGATGTAATGGCTTTAAAATAAATGATTTCAGAAGGCTTCTTTATTATTTTGCTATTTTCAAATTTCATGATTAATTTTTCCTTACAGGTTTTAGTATTTATCCTTTATCCGAAATTCTCAAATCCGAAAACCTCCAAAATCCGAAACACAGGTTTCACACAAGCATACTTAAATATACGATGTAATGGCTTTAAAATAAATGATTTCAGAAGGCTTCTTTATTATTTTGCTATTTTCAAATTTCATGATTAATTTTTCCTTACAGGTTTTAGTATTTATCTTTTATCCGAAATTTTCAAATCCGAAAACCTCCAAAATCTGAAACACAGGTTTAACACAAGCATACTTAAATATACGATGTAACGGCTTTAAAATAACTGATTTCAGAAGGCTTCTTTATTATTTTGATATTTTCAAATTTCATGATTAATTTTTCCTTACAGGTTTTAGTATTTATCCTTTATCCGAAATTCTCAAATCCGAAAAAACCTCCAAAATCCGAAACACAGGTTTCACACAAGCATACTTAAATATACGATGTAATGGCTTTAAAATAAATGATTTCAGAAGGCTTCTTTATTATTTTGATATTTTCAAATTTCATGATTAATTTTTCCTTACAGGTTTTAGTATTTATCCTTTATCCGAAATTCTCAAATCCGAAAACCTCCAAAATCCGAAACACAGGTTTCACACAAGCATACTTAAATATACGATGTAATGGCTTTAAAATAAATGATTTGAGAAGGCTTCTTTATTATTTTGCTTTTTTCAAATTTCATGATTAATTTTTCCTTACAGGTTTTAGTATTTATCCTTTATCCGAAATTCTCAAATCCGAAAACCTCCAAAATCCGAAACACAGGTTTCACACAAGCATACTTAAATATACGATGTAATGGCTTTAAAATAAATGATTTCAGAAGGCTTCTTTATTATTTTGATATTTTCAAATTTCATGATTAATTTTTCCTTACAGGTTTTAGTATTTATCCTTTATCCGAAATTCTCAAATCCGAAAACCTCCAAAATCCGAAACACAGGTTTCACAAGCATACTTTAAATATACGATGTAATGGCTTTAAAATAAATGATTTCAGAAGGCTTCTTTATTATTTTGCTATTTTCAAATTTCATGATTAATTTTTTCCTTACAGGTTTTAGTATTTATCCTTTATCCGAAATTCTCAAATCCGAAAACCTCCAAAATCCGAAATTTTTTTAAGGTGCTCATATGTCTTGCTACAAATGGGAAATTTCAGTAATCCTAGTTCCGCATTCATTCAAGAAGAATATCCTCCAAGAACTAAAGAATTGAATATTTTATTGCAATTTCCCATATCATTCCTACGTGAATTACTTTCATACCTGTGATAGGTGCACTTAGAAATATTAAGAAAGAAACCTAGAAATTTCCTAACAAATTGCCCGAGAAACCTTCTTTGCAAGATGTTCCCAAAATACGACTGGCACTGCCTATGTATTATGGAAAGCTCTTTCAGTCTCCAGGGACGTCCAACCCACAACCCACTTAATATTTTCATGCGGCCCACTGTACCTTAAAATCTTTAGGTATATTTTCATTTATTTTTGTAAAGTGTGTCGAGAAAATTATTCTCAGATTGCAGAGACATACTGGCTGGTGTGTGGGGCAAGAGACAGAACTAAATAATTATTTAGCTTATCTAGAAAACTGTTATTCATGTGGAGTAGTACATACTGCTGTGAACAATTCTGTTCGTGCACAAACACATCAAAACTACTGAATGAAATAGGTTGAGTGACTGCCATTTAACTAACATTCTTAGAATAAAGACTAGGACCATAAAAGCAGATACTAACAATATTATAAAAAGAAATCAATGTCAAAAATCACATTGAACTTATTTTAGTTAGTGTATGTATAATTTGTTCTTTTTTTAAATATTGATAATAGGATAGTATATGGAGTCCGTGCACTGCTCAGACTACAGACCCCACCTCTCAGCCATACCATAGACATATAGTAACATAAAATACAAGTTTTTGTATTGTATTTTTAGTATACTAAATCATTTAGGCATCTATTTATCTCACAAGATAACAATAGGATCCTGTTTGGTCAAAATTCAGTCCTTTCACGGTGAAACTGGAGTGACCTCTCCAAAGCTCAGGAGCATTTGTGTTTATTCAACACCCACAGAGGTCACTTGTAGTTTATGCTGTAACTATGCTGAGAAGATCTTAATTACAGTCTCTGGAAAAGAGCATGATCAACAAAGGCCAGTATGGCTTTCAGGCACTTACAAAAGGTGCCTCCTTCTTGACAAATCGACCATAAAGAGATTCGAACCCGGGTCTCATAGTCAGAATACAATCGTTCTAACCACTCAGCCACGTGCCCAGAAAAGCGGACAGTGACAATATTATAAAAGGAAAGCAATTTTAAAAATCACATTGTATTTATTTTATTTTGTGTATGTATAATTTCTTTTTTACTGTCAATAATACAGTGTGTATATATATATATATATATATATATATATATATATATATATATATATATATATATATATATATATATATATATATATATATATATATATATATATATATATATATATATATATATATATATATATATATATATATATATATATATATATATAAATCAAAAAGAACATAAGATATATAATCCGGTGTTCTTATAGATATTTTTATTTTTACAAAATAGTGCTCAATGTAAATTTACAGAGCATTAATAAAATAATTTTATATACTGTAAGTAATTCTATTACATTTACAAAAAAATAGTCTATTAAAATAACAGTGAAAATACTTTAAAGTTGTATTTAAAATTTTAGTTAAAACGAATTCTAACCTAAACATCTTTTAAAATTGTAATTAAATAAAACGTATTCTAACCAAAACACCTCTCTCAAAGTACTACCGACACTTAAATGAATCCAATAAAACACCTACAGTAAAATGAAATTATGATGCAAAGTTATAAGA